GTCTCCCTGGTCGGCGGGGGGGAGGAGGAGGCGCGCAGCTAGTGCGCCCCCCCCCCCCCAGACCAGGCTTTTCTTGCCGACGACGCCTGGGGTAGAGCAGCCGGGGCGCTGCCGGGTTGGTTCCGCAGCACCACTCCTCGGCGCTACTGGACCAACCCGGCAGCACCCCAGCTGCTCTGTCTCAGGCATCCAAATTCAGCCAATGTTGAAACTGATCAGCGGCTGATTCCAGGAAGCCCAGGGCAGAGCAACTCTGCCTCGGGCTTCCTGTAGTCAGCCGCTGGTCAGTTTCAGCAGCTGCTGAATCTGGACGCCAGTTCCGACTTACATACAAATTCAACTTAAGAACAAACCTACAGTCCCTATCTTGTACGTAACCCGGGGACTGCCTGTATGTCAATATTGGGAAGTGAACTTGTGTACAAATAGTACAAGTTGCTGCCTCCTTACAATGTGTAGGTCCAGTGGATGAAAACTCATTTAAAATAAAATATGTTGCACTTAGATACTACAATTAAAGTATAAATCCACATTCATTAGGACTGCCTATATTCCATTATTTACATTTGTATATGCTAATAGAGTATTAAGACGTGGCCAGAGAGCTTTGTGTCATATATAAAACTCGCAGGTAAAGCTTCTTACCTTATAAAGAAGTAAGAAAGAAGGAAACCCCTTTAGAATGCAGTATACTTGAGCAGTTAGGTGGCAGTGATTTTTTGTTTTGTTTTATGTATGTGAAATGTTTTGATTAGCTTTTGACAATTTGTACAGTGACAAGGATGTATTTCTTCATGCAGTGCATTCTCAGGCATGTGATGGTTGGCACCTGAAATTTACCCAGTACAGTCAGAGCTATGCAACTGTGCAAACAGCAGTGAAATTTCAAGGTGTAGTGTCAATGCGAAATCATGCTTGATTTATATGGATGAAATGATTGAGTTAAACTACTATCTAGAAACTTTTCAGTGACCTTAACATTTTTATGATTAATATGCAATTTATTATTTTTTAAAATGCAACTATCTGTAATTTAAAGTAGCATTTCAAGCATTTAAAGCAAAAATGTAGCTCTTACCTAAAAATCTTGTGAATGTGTTTCCATAGTTATTTTAATGTTCAGAGAAACTTTATGTAAACCTTCTTCTGCAGTGAGATAATAAAGCACAACCATTGTGACATTATATGAAAGTCAGAAAATAAAATTGATCAGCCTAGTTTATCTGTCTATAGTGAGTGAAACACAAAATAAGCAGCTGAGAGGAGTGACTGCTAATATTTGAGCACAAATTTTAGATTGTAAATCCTATTTACCTGCTTTGCTACTTCTGAGCCTCAGTAGCATTGCAAATAGGAAAATATGCTGGTGGTAGGTGTAATCACCGTAAAAAATGGTAGGAAGTAAATTAAAGATTTAAATCAGGGCTGGTTGGAATAAATTTCATTTGATCTTAACACCACTAATTTTTTTAAAATGTGATGTTTATCTTCACATTGTCCTATTCAACCAGAATAGAACTATTTTTTTTAAAACATACTGTAGACACATGTGTGTGACTCTTCTTAACTTTACCACTTGACTTATTCCTATGGTTTTGAAAGGCTTGTTGAAGATGCACTCTGAGTGGGATGATGGTACCATCTAGTGGTGAAATATTTAAAATGCAGCAGAGTAAAATGTTTCTTAAAAAGAGAGATGGGTAAATATGCTAATCAGAGAGGGAAATTAAAAAATATTTCTCTTCCCATCTCTTTTAATCTTTACAATTAAATAACATTTATATTCAATACATTAACAGATGTACATCATTGTCACTAATAGAGTACTAGATTGTAATTTAATGTGCTAAGTGTTTTAATTAGTTTATGTGAAATTCTTAAGTTCCGTTGGTTTAGTGTTTTACGTGAAATGTACAGATTTTAAGTGCAAGGTGCATTTCTTTCACTCTGACTTCTCAAACATCTAGCAGTATGTAAAAAAAATTATAAAATAATCCACTGCACACATTTATCTCTCAGGGAACAGCATAAGAGAACAAACATAGGACAGATGTTCTCCTATTGCAGTAGGAGTTTGGGTTTTGTAGGGGTCCCGGCTGAGGCGGGAGAGGGGGGTGCAGAAGGACATGAGGTCTCTAGGTGGCACTGTTTTCAGGGAGCTCCCCAGAAGTGGTTACCTCCCTTCTCCCTTGGATCCGAAGTGGCGATCCAGCCAATGGGAGCTGGGGACCTGATGCTTGGGGCACCTGCTGTCCCCTCAAGTTGTTGGAGGGGCATGTCACTGCTTCCCAGAGCTATGTGTAGCAAGGTAGGGAGCCTGCCAGCTCTTTTAATATCCCTCAGCACCAGTGGGGGCCCTGGCTGCATGCAGTAAGCCACCCTCACTACAGCCTCAGTGGGGAGCCAGGCTGTTCCCCGAAGCACCTGTAACAGCCCCAGGCCATCACTGACCACTCACTGGTCAGTATATGCTGTAAGTCAGAGACGGGTCACGGTCTGTGAATTTATATTTCCTGCCTGTGACCTGTCCATGACTTTTACTAAAAATATTCATGACTAAAACCCCTAAACTTAGTGATATTATATGTGGTAACAAACTTGTGCAGCATCTTTGAAAAATCTATATTTTATTTACAAAGTAATAGTACTAGATTAGATAAACAGGAAGTTTAATTTAAGATCTTTCTTCAGTCATTTTCTAATTTTTTGTTTGAATTTTTTTCCAGAAAGAACTCAGTCTCCCTAGAAGAGGAAGCTTGTAAGTATGATTACTTTTTGTCCATGTTGCCATAAGTTTTGATTCAACACAAATATGTACAGATTCTTAACTGTTCAATCTCCACAGAGTTATCAGACACAGATATATTTTATTTTTTCCATTGACATTTTGTATGTGCTTTTAAAATATTTTTGAAAGGTGCCAGGTTGGCCACCTTGGAAAGAGACGTCCTGCCTTCATCTCTGTAGAACAGAGAGTGGTGGGGAACCTCTTTTGGGTTGGGGACCACTGACCCACAAAAAATCCTTGCTGACCTGGCCTCCAAGTGAGAAGGAGAAAACCCCCTCACAGATGTAGCCCCCTCTCCCCAAGATGCAGGGAATAATGCTTACCTCACTCCCCTCGCCTTCCAGTACAATGGGGCAGGAGATCGCTGATTTTTAGGGCTTCCCCCCAAGGCTAGATTAACTTTGCTGGGGGTCCTGGGCTAGTAGATCTTGTGAGGACCCCTTGGCTCTGGGGTGGGCCCAGAAATGAGGGGTTCAGTGTGTGAGAGGGGGCTTCCAGGGAACAGGCTGTGGGTAGAACTGGAGGATGTGAGCAGGAGGTAGGGTGCAGGAGCGGGCTGGGGGTGCGGGATCTGGGCAGTAAATAGGAAGCAGGGTCTGAGCAGGACGGGGCAGGAGATTCTGGTGCAGTTCTGGTGTGGGCGCAGGTGGCTCTGCACCACCTTGCTTTTGCAAGCACTTCCCCCTGCCCACTCCCATTGGCTGCAGTTGGGAGCGATGAGGGTGGAGCCTGCAAGCAGCGCAGGGACAGAGCTTCCCTGCACCGAGCCACTTTCTCCTCTCCCTCCAGGCAGACTCTGGCCTAAATGCAGCCTGCAGCTTGCTTTGATCTGGCCCACAAGGCTCAGGGCTCCCCACTGCCCCCATAGCGAAGAGCCAACATTCATGCTCTAGCCACGTGGGTGGGTGGTGGGGCAGCGCTTTGTCTTGTGGGCTGTATCAAGGCAAGCCGTGGGACCTACTTTACGAGGTGGAAGACAGCCAAGCCTACTCCTATTGCTTAGCCAATGTGGTTCAATCTTGACATGTAGGAAACTTAGAGGAGTGAGTGGGGAGTTGAGCACTGAAGGGGCCGACAGTGCGTGCCTTTTTTGTTGAGCCTGCCTACAGTGGTCCCTGTTGCTGCCAAACCCAACCTTTGTACTCTGGATAAAATGCCCAATGGGGCTTGTACTGAGATGTAATAAACAAATTCTCCACAAGTCAAGTCACGGATGGGAACAACGCTTGGTCAGTGCTATGTGGGCCATGTAGAGGTGAAAAATCTAGGTTCTCCCTGCTCGTCCCTGCGGGTTTGTATGGTGGTGTACAATCAAGACCAACGAAGTATTGCCACAAAACAGCAAACTAAAAAGTGCATGTCTTAAAATCTAGTACTTTAAAAAGTGAGCCAGTTACTCATTTTAAGATACCTTGTTAGGTGTGCAGAGATTCAGGAGACTGTATTTTACTGATAATCTCTTAGAGAATTTGCTATTGCTAAGCTTAGTTTTTTGTGGTCTGGTACGTAGTAGAATAAAACTGCGAAGTGGCTGGATTATATAAAGAACAAGTGAGCGTGTTGGTTAAACCTACAATAAGCTCAGAGTCATAGCATTCTAACTGTTAACCATGCCCTAGGGTTTGTGTCTCACAGAAGCAGGTTATCTTTTAGAAGTTGTCTTAGATTTCAGGCTTTAGAATGTATGAGTTTAAATTTTTATTCTTTAAAATTTCTCCTTTATATAAAGAACAATGTTTGGAAAGCTCTCTGTGGTCCCGATATGACTAGGTCAAAAGGCTTTTTTTAATGAGCCATGAATTAACCATTTTGTTGAAGTCATATTTTGGAATTAAATGCAGTTATTCAAAACAAAACAGAACACAGAAATCATACATCTGTTATCCATCAGTGTACTAGCTTTGTATTAGATTTTAGGAACATTAGTGCTTATATAATTTGGAACAATCAAGACAGTGATTGGATAAGAGCACTTGGACAAATATTTGGAGACAGTGCAGTTAAAGAAAAATTCGATATTACTTATCCGTAGTCTTTACCTTAATATAACAACTCAGATTTTTTGCACAAAATATTTTTTATTTGGATTTGGGGATGACCCAAAGTGTTTTCCTGTTCCTGATCAGGTATGGAGGTGGATACAATATAAATTAAGAATTAACAAGAGAAACTTATGGTACTGAGTTGAGGGTTTTAGGCACTGACAGTTGGATGGTTTATTTAGTAACTATGAATATTGCTGAATTGTTTGTAAAGTATATTTCTTCAGTTATTTCAATCCTTTTTTTATTACCCTTCTTATCAAGTGGATTTTCCTGCTAAGTCACCACTGTGAAGAGAACTTCAGTAGTCTGTGTCTAGAACGCCAGAACCACAAATTGTAAAGGGCAAAAATAACAGCCCCTGATGTGATTTCAGTTCTTTGTGGAATAGAGATTTTCAGTGTGTTCAGTATGTTTCTTGTCCATATACTCTGACTAAATTATTTTATTGTTTCTTGGATCTATACAAAGTGCAGTAAGTCAGGCCTAGTTATTTTGAATTGATTTACTTTGGTTTTATCAAATTAGTACTATGTTGTGGTTTTCATTTACTTCTGATTGATACCCAAATGTCCTTATAAACCAATTAGAATTGTATGGTTCAATGGAAAGAGCCTTGTGGATCTGCAGAAAAAAACCCCTCTTTTTCTCAGAGTTGTCAATAGCTGTTGGTACCATAGTATCACAGTGCTCCCTGTATACATTAAATCTGCATAGTGAGATCTAAGACAGCCACTGGCCAATTGGGAATCAATCTGGGGTGGGTAAATCTACACTGGGAGCTGCTTCTCTGCAAGTAACCAAAGCAATCAATACCATTCTACTATGGAGGGTTGAGACTCTGGGAGAGGTGGATGCCACAGTAGAGGGCTTTGCTGTGATGGGGTTCCCTAACTGCGGTGGGACGACAGACGGAACGCACATCCCATCTTGGCACCCGACCACCTTGCCAAGGAGTACATAAACCACAAGGGATATTTCTCCATGGTGCTGCAGGCACTGGTAGATCACAAGGGCCGTTTCACCAACGTCAATAGGGAATGGCCAGGAAAGGTGTATGACATGCATATCTTTAGGAACTTACCCCTTTTCAGAAACTTGTAGGCTGGAGCTTTTCCCCTCAGACGGGAAAATCTGGAGAATTGGAGAGGTGGAAATGTCAATATTGGTGACCCAGCCTACCATTTGTTCCCGTGGCTCATGATGCCATTCATGGGAAGCCTGGACAACAGTAAGGAGCAGTTCGATTACAGGCTGAGCAAGTGCAGAATGGTAGGTGAATGTGCTTTAAAGGGAAGGTTTAGGAGTCTACTGACTAGGTTGGATCTCAGTGAACCCAACATTGTCTTTGTGGTGGCAGCCTGCTATGTGCTCCATAATATCTGACAGAGTAGGGAACCAGAGGCAGAGTGCCTAATCAGAGATTTTGAGCAGCCAGACACCAGGGCGATAAGGAGAGCGTAGGGCATGGCAGTGCAGATCAGAGAGGCTTTGAAGGAGTTTTATGAAAGGCCAATTTTGAGTCATCTGTGTTGCTCTCAATGAGATGCCCCTGCATTCACTGTAATCTCCCATCCCACTCCTGTAATTATAGCAATAAAGAGAGAGTTGTTTAGAAATCGTGTTTTTTTTTTTTTTATTTAGGGAAGGTAGCAGGGACAGAAAAGGAGTACATTGCGGGACCTTGTCGGAGGCAGGAGGGAATCTGGGTGTCTGGCTGATGAGTCTTGCCCACATGCTCAGGGTTTAGCTGATTGCCATATTTGGGGTCGGGAAGGAATTTTCCTCCAAGGTAGATTGGCAGAGGTCCTGGAGGTTTTTCGCCTTCCTCTGTAACATGGGGTACAGATCACAGCTAGAGGATTCTCTGCATCTTGGGGTCTTCATAGTATTTGAAGGCTTCAATATCTGAGATATAGGTGAGAGGATTATTCTAGGAGGGGTGGATGAGATTTTGTGGCCTGCACTGTGCGGGGGGTCAGACTAGATGATCATAATGGTCCCTTCTGACCTTAAAGTCTATGAATCAGAAGTGTGAGGAGGACAGCCTTTTACTTCACAATTTTCCCAGGAGCTTGAGTGTGAGGCTGCACTTGAGTTCCCTCCCCCTGCCATGTCCTAGGGCTGGTGGTTGAGACTACAGACCTGGGTGAGGAGGGAAAGTTGTCCTGCGAGGGGTAGGAGGGATCCTCTCCAGGCATACCGCTGTGCTTTCAATCACAGCCGTCGTGGATGAAAAGACATTCTCCTAGTGCTTCATTCGCAGTTCCCTGCATGCTGTCCTCTCCTCCAAGAACATGTTTCTCTATTCCATTTGCTCCTTACCCATATCTTTCCTTGTCCATTTTCGCCTGTGGATTTATGCGAGCCGGACAGCTGCTTCAGCTGGCAGCAAGCTCCCTGCTGTTCCCGCTGTAACAAAAAGTTACAAGGGCACACATTACAGGAAATACATTACAGAGCCTAAATCCTAATCTGTTATATACAGCAAAGGTCTCCCTTACAGACAGTGGAGACGTGTTCTGTGCAAGGCTAAAGTTATGCTTTAAGGTGGCCACTATACAGCAGATACACAACAGAGTTCTCAAGGGAACATCTAGACTCACGTGGTTTGGAGGCAGGCATGGTTAAAGGCCTGCCAGGGTACAATTTTGCAGGCAGAAGGTGGGACGTAGGAGCAGGGTGATGGTGCACGAATTTTCTTTCCTGTGTCCGCCACACCTCACTTCCCAGAAGCATTCTACTTTCCCATCCTAGAGGAACCTGTGGGTGGGAAGAAGGGACAGGTTGCCAGAGGCTGAAGCCATGCTAGCAACAGAGGCAGCAGCTAATAGCTTCCCTTTCTTCATCCAGGTTGTCATGTGAGATATCAGTTGTCTTTGAAACACACAGAGTGATCGGGAACTGATGCTGATTGAATGTGGCCAG